CTCTACTAGGGACGGACAATGTGGGAGAGGCTAGGATGCCCCCAGGACAATCCAGAGCCTGCATCAGCCCTTATTTAATGTATTTATCGATTTTAAGTATTTTCATCCCGCCTTTGTCCTTAAAAGGATCCAAGGCAACTGGAAAGGAGCAAAAAGGATGAAAATTTTACAAAAAGGAATGTTGCTACGGCCTATTTCTTGTTTCATGAGGAGAGGGCTCCAAAGGGACCGCAAAAGGCCTCTTTAAGGCAAACAACAGCTAATCCTTCCTAGAAAAGGGCTTCTTTTCCAGAGATTTAGATGGCAAGGGGTGCCCTGTTTGCCACCCCAACCTGCAAGATGGGGAAATGGGGGAGAAAAAAAGCCAAGAAATGATGATGCCCTTATCCCACACTCTCCTTCCTCCACTTCCTTCCCGTAGCCATGCGGTTTCCCCAACAGGCCGGATCCAGGCACCTGCATGTAGGTCGTGACGAACGGCAGACTGGATTTTTGCCCAGGGAGGGCTCCTGACCATCCTGCTGGACTCAAAGAGGCAAGCGGCCAGGCCAAGGGGTCAGGCGACGGACCTCCGAGCCCAAGGGCCTGGCGGCTGCTCAGATGTCCCTTCGGGGGACCTAGGGGAGGATAAGGGACAGGCGGGGGCCTCCCTTCCCTTTCTCAGCTCCCCCCCCCGGTGTATGGATGGCAGCCAAAGAAAGCCATGCACTTCCAGAGTTCACACTGCTAAGAAAGAAAAAGGAGGTATAAAACCTCCGCCCTGCTTGGCTTGGCAAAGGGCAGGGTTTTCGTTGGCCAGAAGGGAGAGGGTTCACACAGACTGGCGCCACGGATCCGCAAGAGGCCAGCGGAGATCATCTGAGTGGGTGGGAGCTGCCCTTCGAACAAAGGAAGTTCTCTAGAGTTTACTCAGGCTAAGGCAGACCTCGAGGTTCCTTCTCATGGCCTTCTGTTCAGGAATCCGGGGCTCCTTTGAACATCCTCTCTCCCTGCGAGCCGGGATGGAGAAACAGAAACAAAGATAGGATAGCACTCCCCCAAATACCTGAAAAGGAGTCCTCCAGAGGAGGGCCAGGATCTACTCTTGATCGTTCCAGAGCGCAGGACACGTCAGAATGGACTCAAGCAAAAGGAAGCCAGATTTCGGAGGAACAGCAAGAAAAAAACTTCTTAACTGTTAGAGCAGTACGACAACGGAACCAAGGAAGTAGTGAGTGCTCCAACGCTGGAGGCATTCAAGAGAAAATACGGATGACTGTCTGTCAGATCGGCTTTGACTTGGACTCCTGCACTGAGCAAGGGGGTGGGGACCCGATGGCCTTCAAGGCCCCTTCCAACTCCATGATTAACCTAAGATTGCCGATCCACCACCCTTCTTTCCCCGGAGACAACGGGCCCTGCTGCTTCTTTTACCTTTCTTAATCTTCTCGTGAAAATTGATGGCATCCACAGAAGCCGTCACAATGTTAGTCTTGCAGTGGCGAGCGGCCACAATGCCGGCCACTTCGTCCATCAGCTTCATGGTGACACCTGTTAAAATAATAATAAGAAGAAGAATTACAGAGTGGCAGGTATTACCTGAGGTCCTTCCTTAGTTGCATCTCTAGGGAAAGGTGACCTGGAGTGTCAAAGAAAGAAGAGGAAGTCCTGCCTCCTGAACCACCAGAAGCCCTATAGTGGGAAAGACACGGCTGGACTCCTTTTCCCATCAGCCTTACACATGTTCAGGGATGATGGTGTGCGGAGTCCAAAGGCAACAGGAGGGCCACAACTTGGCCTTCTTTAAGCCTTCTTTAATCTTTAATGTATGAGAATATACATTTCTCATTTCAGAAATGTATATTCTAATTTCCCTAGGAGTAAAATAATAACAATAATAAACACTCCACCCACAGTGGCTCAAAGCACAAAACAAGTTAAGAGACCAGCAAAACATACTGACCAAAACCAGTAACAAACCAAGTTGAATCAAACCATCAATTTAAGAAAGAGCCAAACTGGGCAACTGTTCCCAAAGAGATTTAGAAGGACATGATTAATATATCAATAAAATAAATAACTGGAAGGATGTTCGCATGGAAGTTGGAGTCCACCTCTTTTCCTGAGATGGTCCAGAGGGCAGGAAAAGAGGACATGAAAGAAGATTCCAACTCAGCCTTGGGAAAATCTCTGATGAATCCCAACTAAAACGCGAATCTCAGCAATTCGCGTTTTAGTTGGGATTTCATGCCTAGGTGAGGGGGTTGGAAGAGGTGACCCTTAGGGTCTCCCCCCCCCTTCTGTCTCTATTGTTCTATGATTCTAAGTCTTAGAAAACAAAGGTGGCAGTGGGAAAGGATGTGTTTTGATTGAAACAAGATTTTGATAACCTTTTCAAGTATCCCCTTATTTCAGCCTGGCTTAATGGTTTCACCAATTCCTCACACTTCAGTGTATGCGGCATAGCAGATTTGGGCTCCTTAGGAACAAGTGACCCCCGCACAGCTAAACCACAATTGTCACCAATTCCTCACACTTCAGTGTATGCGACATAGCAGGTTTGGGCTCCTTAGGAACAAGCGACCCCTCGCACAGCTAAACCACAACTGATTCATTTTTAAAAAATATTTTTACCCTGCCTTTCTCCATAAAAACAACCCCAAATGGGGGGTTTACAGCATTCAAAGACAATAGGGAAAGCTAAAAACATTAAGTATAGAAATAAGGATCAAACCAACGCCACTCTAAAAATGGTAAACGAAGGCAATGGTAAAAGCACATTCAAAGCAGGAAGGTACAACAATCTATTAAAAAAAAAACCATTCAGGCAGCCGCCTGCCTTTCTCCATAAAAACAACCCCAAATGGGGGGTTTACAGCATTCAAAGACAATAGGGAAAGCTAAAAACATTAAGTATAGAAATAAGGATCAAACCAACGCCACTCTAAAAATGGTAAACGAAGGCAATGGTAAAAGCACATTCAAAGCAGGAAGGTACAACAATCTATTAAAAAAAAAACCATTCAGGCAGCCGGTCACTGAGAAATGGTAAACGAAGGCAATGGTAAAAGCATATTCAAAGCAAGAAGGTACAACAATCTATTTTTTTTTTTAAAAAAAAACCATTTAGGCAGCCAGTCACTGAGGGGAAAGCTTGACCAAAGAGAAAGGTCTTGGCTTGCTTGTGGAAGGACAGCCAAGATGGGGCCAGGTGGGCCTCCAGTGGGAGGGAGTTCCAGAGTCTGGGAGCAGCCACCGAGAAGGCCCTCTCTCATCTCCCCACCAAACATACCTAGGAAGGTGCGGGACTGAGAGAAAGGCCCCTCCTGATGATCTTAATACCCGCGCAGGCTCATAATGAGAGACACAGAAAAAGAGCTTGGACTCAAAAACCATTTAGGTGAGGACCCGTCCTCTGAACTGGGCCCAGAAACAGATCGGCAGCCGGTGGAGCTGCTTGGCCCATAAGCGCGTGCTTGTTTCATGACACACGCTCTGCTCCCGCTGCACACTGGCGGATCTTCGGGGCCTTCCGGTTCCAACACGAGACTGCCGGAGCTGGACGAAGACCAAGAGAAGCTCCCTGGGGGTCTTCCAACGTCACGCACGAACAGGGCTTCTGGAGTGGGCAATGTTCGCACCATTTCAGTGGGCAACGTTCACACTTCAGTCGGCGTCCCCACCCCACCCCGAGACATCACCCTGGCCCTTGCGAGTGTTCGGCTACAAGGCAAGATGCCTCCTTCGCCCGAAAGCCTTTGGTTGCTGCTGTTTGTTTTTTTTAAAAGAAAACTCAATTTAGGTTGGAATAAATATTTATGCAGCTGCCCTTGTTAAATCGCCTCTTTATGGACGTCGCCTGCTCTTCCATTTTCCAAGTGAGAACATGTTTAGTGCTTGATTGCAACCCAACGGTTACTTCCTATCTCTCAGGGCTGGGCTTCTTTGGCCTGCCAGGGCTACTTTGAGCTTTCTGGAAGGGCCCCTATGAGGGGTTTTTAAATATATAACCAACTCAACAGTCAAGTTCAATGAGGCAGAAACTCTTCAAAAGAAAATGCATTCCCTCCCGTCCTTTGGGTGCATTAAAAAGTGAGAAAGGCTGTGGGGAATTTCACCCCGAGTCCTTTTGGGGCTTGGGCTTTGATCAAAAGGCGCTCAGCATCCCTCTTCCTCCGGTGCTTCGATCCTCCCCCCCTCCTCTCGTTCTTCAGGGTTTTGGGGGTCATCAAAGGAGACAGTGGAAACAGAGCAAAGCAGGATTTGTGCTCAGCCCAGCGAATATTCATCACAACAGGGATGGTAAGGGCTGGGGCGGCCAGAAAGTGTTCGGGTAGACTTAAGGCCACATGATACGGCAGGCTTTTGGTGGAAACAAAATGCCAGAGATGATGCTTCCTTTTCCAATGACGCTAGAAGCCTGAAACTGGAGGGATGCGGAAGGGGGATGATCCCAGACCCTTAGACCTTGCATGGATGGCAAACAGCTGTTTTTCCCCTTCCATCCAACCTCCATCAGGTCCTAGTCAAATACCAAAAAAAATGCCTTTTGCAACCGAGGATCCAGATGCTTTCTTCCCAGCTCCCAGTGTTCCCGGAAATGGAAACTACGGTATGTTCTGGGACGGCATAAAGCCACACACAGACAAGCTGACACATTTTTGTGCCTGCATCAGATGGGACAAAAAAAGAGCCATCCATAGCGATCCGAAAGCAAGCTCCCCAGTCTATACAACTGGCTTCTCCTGCCCCTAACTCCTACCACCACCAACACCTAGACAGATGAGGAATTCTGGAGAACCTGAAAGCTTGCACACTTAATTCTGGAATGGTAGTCACTCCTAGCAAAGATAATCAGTGCAGAGAAGGGCAAGAAGGATGAATGGGGTGGGGGGGCTGGAAGCCAAGCCCTAGGAGGAAAGACTGAAGGAACTGGACATGTGTCACCTTGAGAAAAGAAGACGAAGGGGAGAGAGGACGTCACATTTTTCAAACCTTGAGAAAAGAAGATGGAGGGGAGAGAGGACGTCACTTTTTAAACCCGTGAAAGGCAGTCCTCCAGAGGAAAGGCAGGATCTGTTCTCAATCTTCCCCGAGTATGTCCTCCAGAGGAAAGGCAGGATCTGTTCTCAATTCTCCCCAAGTGCAGGACATGCAACAATGGACTCAAATGACAGGAAGCCAGATTTCGGTGGAATATCAGGAAAAACTTCCTGACTGTTAGAGCAGTACGACAACGGAACCCATGACCTCGAGAGGCAGAGCAGTACGACAACGGAACCCATGGCCTCGAGAGATGATGATGAGTGGTCCAACACCAGAGGCCTTTGAGAGAAAATAGGATGACCCTCTGCCAGGGTTGGACTTGATGGCCTCAACTTCATCGTTCTATGATTCTAGTCCCTGCTGGTGGATTTTGGAGTTTTCTTTGCACCAGGGATGAAGCCCCGTAAACTAGCACACTTAGCACACTCGTTTAAAAGGTCAGAATTGGGTTCAAGCCCACGGCTCTTGCCTTGAAGTCCACCGGAGGACCCTCCGGGCGGCCACTCGCCCACCGTCAACCTGACTACCCTGGCACAGGGTCCTTACGGGATGAAATGAGAGAGTGGCGTGTGCAGGCCAGCCAGCCAGCCTCAAAAGAAAAACCTGGATTGCAAAGGAGTGATGAAGGGAAACAGGGCCCATCGGATCCAGCAAAGCAGCCTGGAGGAGGTGGGCGACAGCTTTGAGTTTTGGCCATGCGTAAGTAAACCCGCTCATCCCTGCTCTGGAACTGAGGCTCGGGCACCACCCAGCGCTCCTTGGCCACCACGGCTTGCAGGGAACAGGCTGAGCAGCTGCAGAGAACGGAGTAGAAGAAAGTATTCTTTGCAGCCGCGGTTTTCAGCATATTCCATTGAGAAGCAGCTTCTACACACACACACACAGAGAGAGAGAGAGAGAGCCTGCTTTGGCCCAAAGCAGGTTCAGCCGCTTCAACTGACAGCAAAGCTAACAGTTGCTAAATATAACCGTCTGCGTGCACGTTCGCAGGAACCGTGACTTGCCTCCCTCCCAGCTCTGTTCCGCGGATATGAAAGCAGGAGGGGCGGCAGAAAAAAAGGGTGCCGTCCGTTCGCAATGGGGAGCCTCTCTTTCTCTCTCGGGCCATGATGGTGCCAGCACAAACCAGAGAATTTGTAGAGCTGGAGGGGACCCTGTGGGGTCATCGGGTCCAGCCCCCTGACAGTGCGGGAGGCCCACACCTTAAAAGCATCCTTGACGGGTGAGCCTGCAACCTTTGCTTGAAACCTACTCACCCCATGCAGGAAAGCCCACCACCCTCCAAGGCCATCCGACCTGCGCTCTCACTGTTAGGAGGCTCTTCCTCAGGCTGAGTCCAAACCTCCTTTCTTATAACTTAAATCCACTCCTTCTGGCCCTAACCTCTTGAGCTGGAAAAAACACAAGCCGGCACCATCTTCCACGCAATGACGTGTCATCAAGTCGCCTCCCACTTACGGTGACTCTGTAACTGAACAAACACCAAAATGTCCTGTCCTCAACAG